GGAGAGAGAGAAATTAGAAGAGAGAGAAAAGAAAATAGGGGCGGAAAAAGGAGATTTGGGAAAACTTAAGTTGATGAGCGTTAAAAATTTAATTTATGATTTGGTAGGATGTTTAGAGCTTATTTATGTTAATTTGAATGAAATTGCTTGATTTTCATTAAGATTATAAAAAATTGATTTATAGTTCTTGATGTGAATTTGAGGGGGGGGAAATTTCTTTGAAAATGAGCATTTAGGAATGTTATAGGTTATGAAATGAAGGAAACTATGATGAATTGATGAAGAAATTAAGGGGCTAAAGAGGTCTTAGATGGTTGGCCATGGGTAAAAGATAAATAGTGAAATGTTTATGATAACTTTAATAAAATTATATTATAATTATGTTATGAATGATGTATATATTACAATGATATATGGATGATTGATGTTATTTCTTGTAATGGTGATGAGCTTTTAATGAATTAAGAATTTTATTCAATTTGAGAAATTATTGACTAAAAAGATAGGAATTGATTTTTATTATTTATATGGCATGCTTTTATGAAGATGTATTGAGAAAAAAGTTATTAACGAAAGATTTTGAGGGTTTAATATGTGAAGGATAGATTTAAATTGATATGGAGAATTATCATGAAATATGTTAAAAGTAAGAATAAAAGAAAGAAAAAAAGAAGAAAGAGAAATGGTTGTTTCTAAATTTCAAAGAGTAGTGTTGATTAATGGATAAATTGATTTGCAAAGGGTACTATAATACCCCACTACACTCACAAGGTATTGTTCGTTTTGGCCCATAGGCCTTACAAATTTGTTCTTGGCAGCCACGCATGGCCTTAAAACACGTCCTACTAGTCAAAGTGAGAATGCTCATATAAAACCGTCCCCTCAGTTCTCACCTACCAATGTGGAATATTACATGTACCTTGACAACTAAGCCATTCACTTAAGCCAAAAGGAGACTTTAAACACAACAGATAGATACCTAATCCCTTTAAAATTGTTAAGTTATGTTTTTATTATTATTGTTGAATTTTATTCTCTCATGCACGATATTATTATGGAGAATAAGTAAATAAATGAATAATAGAAGAAAAGAAATATATGGATGAAAAACTTGATTAGCTACTCCTAATTGGAGGCTAATGATGATAAAGGACCTTTGATATTGATATTAAAAAAAGGAAAAATTAAAGCATTTAAAAGAACATGGCTAGTTATTTCTGGTTTGGATAGATAATAATATCGATGAGTTAAATTAATATCGGTATTTACATAAAATTTGATTATATAAATCAAGTTGGATAGCTAATGATTTTAATGGGTTACATTGATATCAACATTGGTGTGGAACTTGATTAGCTACTCGTAGTTGGTGGCTAACAATGTCAAGAGATTTCTTGACATCGATATTTTTAGATGACAAACTTAGATACCTGTAAAAAGATTAATTAGCTATTCCACACTATGATAACTAATGATATCAATTGATTATATTGTTATTGGCATTGTTTGCCGACTCTAATTAGTTGATGTTGGATAATAAAGATTAATAATGCTAGTATATTTATTACCATCAATATAATCCTAAGAATTGGGATAACAAAAAAAAAACCTAATTTATTAGTTTTGGGTATTCAAGGAAGCTAAGAATTGATTATAAATCAATACTAATGACCTACTATTAGCATATTTTGATGGACTCTTGTAAAATAAAGAAAAAGGATGTTAGTGATTAATAAAAAAGTCATGAGAAACATTTTCAACCCTAAATGATTAAGGTTGATTTGAGAATTTAAAAAATATATATAAATTAAATGGATTATTATTTAAGACTAATATTTTAATATCTTGTAAAATAAAGAAAAAGGATGTTAATGATTAATAAAAAAGTCACGAGAAACATTTTCAACCCTAAATAATTAAGGTTAATTTGAGAATTTAAAATATATATATAAATTAAATAGATTATTATTTAAGACTAATATTTTAATATTAGATTATAATCAAATGATTGTATATCGATATAATTTTAAATGTACTCATTATTGTTTATGATTACTTTATTTATTGTAATATTTATATTGTGTTTTTCAAGATCATCTTATTCACCTCAGGAATAGTTATATCTCATTTCACTTTTGTTATCATAATTTTGAAATCACATGTATTATTTTGGACTTGCTTGTAATAACTATGATAAACTTTTCCTTTTGATATATGAATGTAAAGATGTTTTTATAATTTTATGCAAATGTTTGATTTATAATCTCCTTAGGATATATGATTGTCACAAATATTTTCTTGAGAATTTAGGTGAAATAATAAGAACCATTGATAAGGTTAAGATCTAAAATGATTAGATCTTGAATGAAAAATATGAATTAAAAATCTAATAGGTTATTGTCAATAATTTAAGATTTATAATTTTAGAGGAGATTGTCAAAATTTTGATAAATTAACTTTTTTATGTTTTAATAAGTATGATTGTACTTTTCTCAGTCAATATAATATGAAAAGAAAAAATTAAAAAAATTTGACAAATAAAGTAGAAAGAAATTAAAAGACTAGATAAAAAGATAAATATTATTACAATTCATCTTTCTTCTCACAGGCTATAATACAACATAAGTTTTAGATTTATTTTTATTTTTAATTTTAATTTTAATTTGAAAGCAGTACAGTTTGAAAGATGCCTAAAATCTTGAGAAAAAAAAGGATTGAATAAAGTAATGAATTTTTTGAACCGCAATGAAATAGTAGAACGCAATTTACTATTTTCTCAGGAAAAAGAAAAAGAACTTACTAAATTCGAGTTCAATAATAATATAAATGTAACCTATAATGAAAATATGCCCACCTCATAGCACAACAGTTGAACTCCAATTCATGGACTTCTTAATATTTTACAAGAATAAACAAATAAATGATGAATTAGAATAATACCTCCCTCTTAGAGAGAGAGAGAGAGAGAAAGCAGTACAGAAGTATCATCTGTCATGAAGTTTGGGCCAGCAGTAGCGCCGGGGACGAGGACTCTAAACCAATGGTTACTGTCGGTGGTGAAAGCGCCGCCGAAATTGACCGTTGACGCAGGATAAACACTGAATCCCACCGTTCATGTGATAGATGATCCACACTTGTGTCACTTCCTTTGCAAAAAGAGACAAAAACGTTACCAGAACTTATGAGAAGCTTGTCATCTTATACTTCAATTCTCTTCGCAGTAAATGGCTTTGAAATCATCGTATCCTGAAGTTTGAAGCTTTTTTTCATAAAACGATGAGAAAAAAACAGTGGGGAGAAAGTTCAACCTATTTTTAATCCAAGCAACTAACAACAAGGAGTTTTTCTGGGATTCAGTAAAAAAAATTAATAAAATAATACAAGGCAAAAGATATTTAGAAATATACTAAAATTTTAAAAGTAAAATTTAATATTTAGTCATTTGTGAGTCACGTATATTATTTACAACTTTCTCATATTGAAAAATTATGGAATACAAAATTTATATATAAAAAAAATAATTCTAAAAATACATCAAACTCTAATTATAATCACACCAATATAGTTAAAAAAACTTCAACATGATGAACCCAATAAAATCAAAAAAGCAACCAACATTGATTGGAGGGGTTTACATTAGGGATGATATTTTTGGATAGCTCGTATTATTTATTGTATTAATCATTTGAGATCTTTTTTAATGTTATTGAGTTTATCTTGTTTAGATCATTCCAATAGTATTAATAGTATTGTTATTAAAACTTTTATGTGCTTTCAGGATTATTTTATTTTATTTTTTAATTTTTTTTTCTATCTCTTCACAAATTATAAAAATAAAAGAATAGAGTTAAAAAAAACTAAAAAAATAAAGAGAAAAATACTAGAGAAACATCAAAGCTGCAATGACAATATTATTAATATGATTGAAAAAATCTTGAGCGGATAAGATTAATAGCACCAAATAATCACAAATAATAAATATACTAACCACACAATCCTTTTAAAAATATAACTTGTAATTTTAAATTATGATATTTTTTTTAAAAAAAATTTATGAATGTTATTTTATTTATTTAGTTTTTATTAGAATCCAAAAAACTCAACAATAATAAGATAAGGGAGAACTGTGATCACCCTTAGCCAGGGGAGTGATATTTATTATTTTGCAGAAGGTTCCATTCCATATTTCCAAGCTTTGATCTGAGTTCACAAAGAGCAACCATATGCTCTGATCGAATTGAACGGAGCAAGCTGTCGGCTTCATCCCCTGCTCCAAGGGGCCTAGGCCAGAGGCACAGCTGACCTTATCCCTTTGGATTGTCTCTTCTATCAAGTGGGCTGATGCGGACATCTGTTTCTGCCATGAAGCAACAAATACAGCAATTAAAAATCTGAAATGTAATTTGCTATAAATTCTCTCGATTTCAAGATATACTTTGCTACCTTCAGTTTTCCTGATAAAATAAAAAGAACCCTAGCAGAATAGAGCACTAACTCTCTGTTTATGCCAGGCTTGGTTGCTTTGCAGAATATGCAAATTGCCTTACAAATTGCTTTTCGTTTCATGAAAATATATTTTTTTAATTTTAAATTATTTTTGTTATTTTAAAATTATTTTAATGTATTGATATAAAAAATATTTTTAAAAAAATAATAAAATTATTTTAATACATTTTTTAAGTAAAAAAACGGGTAGTCAACAACTCCCAATGTTAATATTACAGGCACCTTATTATATATATATATATATATAAAAAAAAAAAAAAAAACTCATCTCCTCCATCCTCAGTTGAGCACAAGGATTCAGCATCTAACTAAACCATGGTAAATACGGCTGCATTCAAAATTTCATCAAACAATAAACAAATGAAAAATGAAACCGCTCATGTGAAATCTCAACTCTTCTCCTTGTTAGATACAAACAAGTAAAAACCTCATTCAGTATATCTCCGTCTCTACTTCCTCGTCAGAATTAAATATGGCCATAAGACAAAGAATGAAAGATGAAATAAGGTAATATCGTAATGCTGATGTATTGTTGAACAGATGGGAATTAAATTTCAGAAATACCCTAAGAACAATCCTCCCATTTCTTCCCATGAGTAAAAACTCATTACACACTAGTTGTTATAATCTTCAATGTTCACCATTTCTACTTGATAAAAGAAGCCATATCCACAAGTTTAAGCCATCAGGAAAGACAGGTATCCACGGTTCCTGCATCAATTCTTGAAAAAGCTGGGAAATCTCATATTCCCGTGTCTGTAGTTGCAACATCACTCACTGCAACATTAGTGCTACTCAATAATCCCGTACACAGTTCGACTCTCTGAACCACATTGCATTCACAAAAGTTTCCATGCTGCGGTCACAAGAAACGAGGAAAAAAGAATTAACAAATCAACATATATATATATATATATATATATAGGCGTTCACCAAAGGAAAGTATAATAACACGAACGGAAACAAAAGTAGAGAGAAATGGATCGATAGAGAACATGCCATACGTATGTTAATACAGCTTCCTATAGTTCTGTGTTATTGCAGAAAAGGCAGGATGACTGATGCCACTAAAATACTTGTCAAATATGTTTAATTGTTCCTAGCACTTCTGAATTTTCCTGGATTTATTTTGCACTAAATATATCCTCATACAGTATGAAAGTGTGAACAAAGTGCAACACCATGCAAACGCATCTCAATTTTACTTGCCTTGTTAGAAGAGTAACACAAGCTTCAGTTTTTTCCATTTACAAGACAAAATAACCATCGCCTAACAAACTCTACCAATTACAGATTTGGAGGTGCCTTGAAGGCTAATCAGTACAGATTTTCACGCCTTAACTACACCCAACTACAAATAAAACATTGTCTTCTGTTAACAGGACTAGACAAATAGGACTGCAAATTCTTCAGCAACTTGAAATTTGGTATTCAAACAATAGAAAAGTATATATATAAGCAGTGAAAAGGTCAGAAAAGGGATATCACAGTCTCTTTGCATTTGAAAGATCCAAATTATATTTCCAAGATGAGATTCAAACAACTGGCAGAAGACATATTTATGATATTAAAGAAAATTCACTCTTTGCCTCCATGACCATAATCCCAAAATAACAATCGCCCTAAATTAACTTAAACCTCACTCCTTGTATAGTATATATTCTTTAGCATCTAGCCAGCATTCCAACGTTGAGTTCCAAATAGCAGCAACGTATTAAATGGAAGATTGCAAGGCAGGCATCAAGAAAGCAGGTTTACCAGAATTGACAGATAAATGGGATGCAATGTTACATGATACAAAATGATAATGTGCTTTAGAGAATCAGTTCAAGAAATCCTGTCAATCTAAGCTTCAGCCGCGTGTGAGACTATAGTTGAAAAAACGGAAAGAAAGAGGGGAATTGGCTGTATCCACGAAAACATCTTTTATCGTTTCAAAAATCCCAAAACAGAACTCCAAAGAAATATGGATAGTTCGACCTTATTGATCAAAATATAGGCAAGGGTGTAAAGGATTATATTCTTTTTTTAAAAAAAAATGTCTCTCTTTGGGTTTTAATAATTCAATCAGCATAAATATTATAGATAAAAATCTGCAGAAGATGGCACATCCATGTTCAATTTATCAATCTTCATGATCGTCAAAAACTTCCCAACCTCCGCCAACCAACACATATTCAAGTCCAAAATAGCAAGGCCGAGCTACATGAGTTTTACAGGTGAATATTCTAGACACCCTCTCTCTTCATCAATCACAGCCTTACATAGAAAACAAACAGAGACAAAGAAAAAGAGAGATCCAAAAAAATACCAGCAAGGATACCCTTGAAAAGATTTCATGAAATTAATGCATAAACAGACAAAAAAAAAAAAAGAGCACACGAAGCATAACAGAGTAAACAGAACAAAACAGGGAATTCTCGAGTAATTACCAGGAATCTCCTTTCGAGGAGAAGAGGGAGGAGCCGTGGCGTAACAAAGAAGAGAGCGGCCCAGCATGGAGATAGTTGAGACAATCCCGGCAACATAAAACACCATGACCAATCCAAGAACCCAGGGCATCAACAGAAACCCAATAAAAAACGTCACCGATCCACATAACATCAAAGTCAACGACATCCCTAACAGCAACGACGCAAATCCCGCTGGCGTTATCTCCGGCAACCTCCTCCTCACCGGCGTGGTGGGCATCGGAATTTGATCGGAAAACGAGAGAGGCGTTGGTGAACGGAGGAGATTTAATACTAACGTTGATAGCTCTTCAAACACGCGAGATTGTTGGTCTTGATTCTGCCTTCGCATCATATTTTCCGTTTCTTGATTTTATTTTATTTTTAAAGAAAATAATACCACCAGAAATCTTGAAAAGTTGACGACCTTGCTAATTATCTGACTTGAAGACGTTGGAAGTTGAATAGATTTTAATGCTGGGCGTGATTTTGCTAAAATCGAGACAAGTGGATAAACACAGAAACTTTTATCTACTGGAGAAACGCTTATCAGAGAATTTTCATAACTTTTTTTTTTTTCTTGTAACAGCTGAGGGTGAGTTATAGTAAGCAAAGACTTGTTTGTTTCTCGGGAAATTCTTGCATGGAAGTGAATAGAGGTAAGTGTTGGACGCGGCGATGGATGGAACTGTTAAATACAGTGTGGATGTTAGCAATTTTGTTTGAAGAAATTCTCAGTGCAAGAGTTTGGATTCAGAGATAATTTAGAGGCTTGGAAGGTGATGTATACGTGTACTTTATCCCTTTTCTTTGTGGATTGGGTTGCTTTGTCCATGAAGGAATCCTGCTTTATCACGTACTTTTTTATTTCTTTTAGATTCATCATTAATTAAAACTTTGATTATGACAAGTATTGATTTTTTTAATTCCTTGCATATCAGTCTTTTAATTTTACATAATATTTTTTATATTTTAAAATTTATTTTTAACATTAATACACTAAAATCAATTAAAAACTTAAAATGTAATAAAAACCAAATAAAAACTCAATCCAATCAACTCAAATTGCAATCATACTGGAGGGTCAAGGACTGCTTCGTAAGTAATCCTATTATTCATTCAAGGATGACAAGAGAGTGACAGGGCTACACGCTGGTGAAGGAGGTGTATACCACGCTATGTGGATTGGGTTGGAGGCAGCTTACGTGGAGTCAGATGACGGGGGACGTTATCAAGAAAGATATTCACGACCTCGTGTTACTATTGTGCACTGTTACAGCGCGTGGGTAAGATTCCAATTATTCATTCAAAGATGACACGAGAGTGACATGGCTACACGCTGGTGAAGGAGGTGTGTACCACGCTATGTGGATTGGATTGGAGGAAACGTACATGGAGTCAGATGACGCGGGACGTTATCTAGAAAGGGTATTCACGACCTCGAGCTACTATTGTGCCATTGTTACAGCGCGTGGGTAAGTTCCCGGATTTGGTTTCAGTTACTTGTCGCGGATCAGTAGAGTACAAGTGCACGACACAGAAATAACTAATTATGTAGATTTGTTTTTTCCCGTGATACTTAATAAGTTGCCGTCTTAAAAATGCTTTGACCGGAATCTCACGGTTTTCCAAACTATTTTTCAATTATTATAGAATTAATATCTTTTTATTAAATTGTTTGTTAATATGATTATTCTAGTTTTTAAAATATTTTTTATTTAAAATATTTTAAATTATTAAATTATAAAAAGATAAAATATTTTTTTATAATTTATTTAATAAAAAGGAGTTTGGAAGTTCGGTAATGAATGCCTTTAAAATATTTTTAATTTAAAAATACATCAAAATAATATTTTTATATTTTAAAAAAAATATTTTTTATATTATTATATTAAAACTATCTAATTAAATAAAAAATTATAATTTTTTTATAAAATGTTATTTGAAACATAATTTCAATGGCGTATAAATCTAAATGGTAATTAGTAATCACTACTAAGTGAATAATATTTATTTTATTTTTGATAAACAATGAGTGGTAAGATAAATTATTATAATACAATATTTTAATAAGATTTTTCATTTTTCAACGTATACCGGGTAAGGGATGAAAACCGGGTAGCCAACCCAGAATTGGATAGCCGGCTGATCTTCAGGAGGGGAAGCTATCTTCTTTCTTTATAATGTAACTGCTGGAATGGCAATCGCTTAACACGCAACTGGTCAAGGGAATCTCATTTCTTTTTTGCGGATAGAGCCTGGATATTAACATGTAAATGTTAAAGTTGCAACTTCTTTTCCTACCACCCCCTCGACTACCCGTATATATTTTTATTAAATATATATTTCTGTTGCAATCTATATCTTTTAATTCCTATACATTCCATGGAATATTAAATACCATGGAGATAAATTGGAGATGTCGGGAAATAAACATTACTTGTTTAAAAATAAGATTGTGGTTATTTTTTAAAATATTTTTTATTTATAAATATATTAAAATAATATTTTTTTATTTTTTAAAAAATTATTTTTAATATCAACACATTAAAATTATTTAAAAATACCAAAAAAATATTAATTTAAAACAAAAAAAAATTAAATAAAAATTAATTTTTTTAAAAAAAATATAAAAACATGCAGGACCCTTTTGATTAGATAATAGTGTGCCGGTTGCACGTATAAAATTGTATTTTTTATATTAATAGTGTAGTAATATTTTTTTAAAAGAATATATTACACGTAAAATATACTTCTTCTCGAGCTTTAAATAGTAAATTCACGTTCAGGCTGATGCATTGACTACAAGATAATTTTTTTTATGACTAGTCGTAAAAAAAAACGTAGCTTGAATGAATACATTAGTACATTAATTCAAGGCTGCTTTATTGTAGTTTTGTTTGCTGTTAACACGCGATAACAAGCATGGCTTTGTAGGATTTTGTTGTGCTTGAACTTCAGAATCTTACGTCAATTTCATAATTCATTATAATTAGTTTTCTGAGTTCATACAAGATAAGATACATGTTGAAAGTTTTAATTCCAATTTATCACCAATGAGAATGAGACGGGGAAAGTACAATTCCACGAGTAGCCGAGGGCACTCGCTTGTTCTCAGGTAACAAACATGTTCTCCCTGTTATTAATTATGTAGCTTTTTTTACTGTGTTTTGGGAGTGAATTTCAATTTGTTTTTTTTATTAAAATCTGAATTTTTTACTTTTTTTTTTTATTAAAATCTGAATTTTTTACTTTAAATTATTTTTTAATTTTTATTTTATTTTTTTAATGTATTAATATTAGAAATAAATTAAAAAATACTTTAAAAGACAAACACTATTAAACTCTATCATTACCATTATCTCAGACACCCTTCTATCAGCAAAGTTTTCTTCATGATATTACTGTCCCACGTCACCCACTACATCAATTTTTAAAGTTATCTCGTGTAATTATATAAAAAGAAAAGGAAAAAGAAAAAAGAAACGGTTGCAGCATGCTTAAGATGGAATATTTAAAAATTCCGGTAGACCAACCAAGAAACGCACGGCCTTGCCTATCGCCGTCATCATCATCGAGAAAGAAATGAAAAATGTTCCCCGCCAAATCACGTGGGTGTGTGTGCGTATGCCAATAGAAAAAAAAAGAGGAGGTCTTTATCATAAAAAGAATAAACGAGTTAGGCATGAATTATGAGACAAAGATGTCTCAACAAAATGAAATTATTGCATATACTTGATTTGTGGTCTCTCGATTTGAATCTAAGTATTATATACAGCAGTTGATGGTACACAATTTGTTTTTTAAAAAATAATTTGTTATCATTTGAGTCACCTTTGTTGCTGCACGAGCTGCTCGACAGGTTTTTTTTCCTGTTCGGGCTATTTAAAAAAAGTAATTTTATTGATATGAGATTCATACCAAACAAATTAGTCTTTATATAAATATGTATATTAAATAAAAAAGACTTGGTAAAAGCTCTTCATAGAACTTTCATGAATGACAAATAAAGCTTTTTGGACTTTCTCTTAATCGAGATTTTTTACAAATCGGGGGCATAACTATGAGTCTTTTCTATCATAAATTAATGGTAGAAGATTTCAACCGTCCAGCATTGTCGAAAAATGTCAAATCCCTTTAAATAATAAGATAAAATTTCAAAATATTAATTTAAAGGATATAATATCTAATAACTGGAGATGCAGAACCCACATACAGTACTAAGAGAATTATACCTGTAAATCATATTTGCAAGAATCAGACCCTTTTTGCAGAAAATAAACAAAAAGATGAGAAAAATCCCGTTCATATAAAAGAAAATAAGAGAAATTAGAAAGGAAAAATAAGCTGGTGACAATTTAAAATGTTGCAAACTGATTATTCACTGAAAGATGCATCTCAACAATCTCATTGTTGAAATAAGGGGAATTGATACGGATAACATTTCTCCTTTCAAAGGCCAATAAATTTAAAAATGAAAAAAGCCTCTAAATTCAACATCAATCTTTGTGAAAAATTAAAACAAAATTTTAATTTCTTCCAACATAGCCAGCAACTCCGCCTTTATATAAATATAAAAATAAATATGATTTAGAAATAAAAAAAATCAAATTTATAAGAGAGAAACTATGTATATATCCCATCTGAATTAAATTAACCCCAAAGTAATATGTAGGAAGGTTGATTAAAACTTATTTGTTTTTACATTTTAAAAATGTTTTTGAAAAAAGTATTTTTTTTATTTTTTCTTTGTTTTAAATTAATTTTTTATATTTTTAAAAATTATTTGAATATATTAATATCAAAAATATTTTTTAAAAAAATAATTATAATCACATTTATAAATATCAGGAAAAGGGACGACCCTTGGTTCTGTTCAAAAGGGCCGAACACAGCGAAGGGTAGAAAAGCCCACCTGTCTACAAGTCTGTCTCGAGCAGCATTTGAGGGTTGGGGTGTCACGCATTTGCCTTGCTTCAAGGCATCCGTTCGGAGATCAAGCGATATGTCTCCTCTTGGTTTTACCCTAATTAGCTCAAATCAAAACGCTTGAAGTGTTGTCAGCTGTTACCTTTCTTCACAAATAAACAAGAAAGATGCCTCAAAATACTTGTTTCTCATATCTCAATTTGCACACATCACACGGCTACTTGCTTTGCTTCTTTGCACATAATCAGTAAGTGCTCAACTGCTGAAACTCTCAACTATCTTCCCTTGATTCGAACACGTTTATTTTTGACCAAAATGTTTGATCAGTCTAGCATATGCTTAAGTAGTCTGGAAATCACTTGTCATCAAACTGCAATTAGTACCTTAAAAGTTAGATGTATACAGACCTTTTGGTGCTGCTTCTTTTTTCCTTTTTTGATGACTGAACTTTTTGTACTTGTGTGATGTCTAACTACAACAGTTCAAATATAAATCCTCTGCATCGTTTGATCCCCAACCTTTGAGAGTAGTACAAGATGAAGAATAATAAACTACATAAATTAAACATGCATGGGAAGTATGAAATTTGAAAAAAAAATAAAAAATTCCCGGGCTAATTCCCACTGAATTCGAAATTTGGAAAACCCTTCAATGATAATATGAAATAATCACTGACGAGGATAGATTCAGGCAATTGGGTGGGCATAGATTGGAGACGGGAGAAGGAAATAGGAAGGGTAGTCTTTGTCCGTGAGCTTGCTCTTCTAGATTACTCCTAATGAGTTTTATTTATATACTACAAGTGTATTTTTAAATTTTTCGATGAATTTGTCAAGCATCTTTTCTAATATAATCCAATTCTCCGCATGTTTCCATATGAATATTTAGTGCAAGCTCCTCAAGCTCATTTATTTATATACTCTTACAATGAATATCAACAGCAGGCCATAATAGAACAATGAGTCAATGACGGAAAAATAAGCTTTTGATTTGTTGGAAATGCTTGAAAACAAGAGTTAAGATGCTTGGTAGTCTGGAGGAAACTTATGCACATAGGCTCAGATAAGATAGAGAACAGAGGCATAAACAGTGGAAATGCAACTTTGGCAGCAAGACAATGAAGGTAAATGCAGGCTACTAGTACATGCACGTGAGATCAAAGAGGTAACTACTAGAGTGTCTGCCATTGTGGCGCATCTCCATCGGTAAGTTGTCACACATGCGGTGCTGCCTTGCTATTTAAGTAAACACAGTGTTGTTTGTTGTGGAGGATGACCCAAAGGGTGATCCACCTTGCCGTTATAAATTTCACCACCATTCTTCATTGCTACAATCTGCAAGTAATACAATCAACCCAAAAAAATCCAATTTGCACTTGCTGAAAGAGCTAATGGAAATAGGCTACTTGTATACAGGAGTGAGTTTCTGGATTATACATTACCTGTTTCTGTAGCAGTTGGTTTTCCTCTTTCAGCATCTTTTCCTGTTGAAAGCAAAAGGCATTCTTCAGAAAAATTGAAGGTACCTATTTCTGTTTTACCAAATAAATAAATAAAAAAAGAAAGAAATCTGCTTCTGATATTACTTCATTAATGTTGAATTGCAAACAAGCATACAGCAACACCTGAGCACACGGCACCAAAGAAAACAGCAGATAGCAGGCATGGGTTTTTTTTTTTTCCTTCCTATTGTGGCGTGCGTTGTATTAATAAATTACTGGCTGTCCTTTTTTGTGACGTTTACTTTAGTATATTTCTTGCTTTTATTCAAATTAATCCATCAGTTTATACCTGATGATGTTCCTCGATAAGAATGCTGTCAGAATAGCACATCACAGTTGGTAGAGACTATGCTAATCAGACAATACCAGGGAGAACTCAGGCGGCCCAAACTAGATCATCTCACCATAAGATAAACCACAAACTAATCTTCCATGATAAAGTGCAAAGATTCAAAGTATTTAACAAAAGAGTTTTTAGTCAAAAGCTTCTCATGGAGCTTGCATGATTAGCGAGCCTTAATTTTGATGTCAATTTTGGTATTGGCATCCCTAGGGAAGTCTTTAACAGGCAGTAGCGAAGACTTGCAAATTGATCATGCCCAACTATTAAAAGAGCCCTGACATATCATTAACGAAGCAAAGTTGTGTTGACACGATCTGACCATTTTAGCAGCTATACAATGCAGGATGCATGGAACAGGCAGGCGTTCTTAGTTATGAGCAAGGTGTTTCGGAGGGCCCAAATTCTGGAAGCTTCTTGTGGTCCTTTGTATCAGAATGCTATTTAGGTCAAAATTAGAGCTTCCAGATAAAAACGAGGATCCTAAGCTCATGATGTCTTGCTGTGTCCATGATGGATTCATGCATTGATTGCAAACATAAACATAGATATTGCATGGATGATTTTCAAAGCTCACTTTTGGTGTTGGTGATCGACTTTTAGAGTAAATTTCGGGCAAAATGACGAGGAATTATGTTCATTTCTACCGGTTCAAGCATCTATCACCAAGTGAACCAAATATGGTCCAGTGGATTATTATTTTTCTGTTTCGAACGAAAAGATTCTAATTCATGTTCTAGATCAGGTATTGAGGGATAAAGCTTGATTCCAAAAAGGCATGGTTTGGTGGAATTATTGGGGCATGATTTTCCTTTCCCAGGGTTTCCAATATAGAGTTTTTAAAACGTCGAATGGAGTGACATGAAACATAGAACAGGGTAATATGTTACTCAGAATGACATTCGCCAAGTAACACTGAAGCGGTAATAAGACGACACACTTGCATACCTTGTCCTGGAGAGACTTCACCGACTCCAGCATCAGTTGCATCTGAAACCAAGTAAAAAAAAAATGATGAAAAGAGCAGTAGTGAGACTTTACGATGTAGCATTGTGCAGGTGAATGAATGTGCCCAGAAATACAAAAATACACCAGGTCTAAAATCCTGGAACAGAAAACAAACTAGTAATCGTGCAACAGATAGTGGACTGAAGATAGTGTAAGTCAAAGTTGAAATCAGACAAACTTTCATCTAGTTCTTCCACTTAAGGTAGCTAGTTGGACAATTAAAAACGCTCACGAGCACCATTGCTTGAACTGGGGCTTGAGAGATGTGATTGCTAATAGAAATGGTATATCAGTAGGAATACCATGGATGCTTCCTGGATTTCTCACCTGAAATTCAAGAGATGGATTGCTTGTATTGGATCCCTAGGTCCATTATTTTTTACAGGGATACGTTGTTTATGAGCAATTTCTAAAAAACTCATCTAATTTCGGCGATGCTTAGACTGAAGTGGTTGACCGTAGCCTAGGAAATCTATTAAGGAGTTTAGAAGGAGACGAACGAAAAAAAATGGGACTTAGCTTTGCTACAAGGAAGTTCGCCTATAACAAGTCTAGAAATCAAACTACTTAGCCGAGCCCATTTGAGGCTGTGTGGACAGAAACTTTCTGGTGTGCTTGAGTTAGCATCTCTTTTTAGTATTGAACACTTGATGTTCAGACTGAAGATATGATAAATTATCTACTTGAAGTGCACAAATAGGCCAAGCAAGCTATTTTAGATAGTAATGCCAAGTATAATCCCTACGTAGATACTCATTGTAGAAAGGTTTTCTTTAAGGTAGGCGACCTTGTTTGAGCAATACTTACTAGATTTACAGTGAGAGAGTGCAATAAACTCAAGGAAAGGAAGATTGGTCGTATTGCAGAAGATCAATGACGATGTCACAATGCATATAGACAGAGTCTCCCTAATCGGTCGAAAACTTTTGGTGTGTTTAATGTGTATTATTTGTCTCTGTACTTAATGGATGACTAGAATTTAAAAATGAGTTTGTTCCACCTCATGGATGCTGATGTTGGCAAGTTCATAGAATTTGATAGTTTTAAATAATCAACTATGAATATGCTACTAGTGGATCATGCAGAGAGATTATAAACTCTTTTGGAAGTATTATTATGGTTATTTTTTAAAGTATTTTTTATTTAGAAATATATTAAAATAATTTTTTTTATTTTTTAAAATTATTTTTAATATAGCGCATCAAAATAATCTAAAAATATCAAAAAAAATATTAATTTAAAAAAAATAGAAAAAATTTAATTTTTTTTTGTAAATACTTTTAAAACACAAAAACAAATAAGAAAGGTTCAAAAAGAAGTATGACATAAAAAATTTATTACTTTCGATTCAATCATTAAGTCAGACTTAAATTTTATCTTACATGTCTAATTTTATAAAAGAACAACTCATTTTAACTAACTCATTGAGCCTTAAAAACTCTCAAATTGGATTTGAAAACCTATTTATTTTTGAATTTTTAGCCTAGTTTTCAATTTTATGTTGTCTTTCATTTTTAACTTAGTATTCTTATTTTTTTACCTCATAAAGATTGGTTTCCAATGCATATTTAAGGATTAATAAGCTTCTTGAAAAAACAGATCAAATTTAGAGAAAAATATCTAAAAAGAAAATTCAAATTAGTGTTCTTATAGTGATAACCCTTTTCATTAACAATTTAATCTTTTTTTACTTGCTTTCTTCTTGTATTTTATTTTCCATAAACGTGACACCCTAAGCGAAGATCAAATCCAGAAATGCAGAGTTCATCAAGTAGAAAATGGTGCAAATACCAAGGAAGACAATCTGATATCCAAATGCTTGTCCAAGGAAACGTATTTAAAATGGCAAAGGACAAAAGAGATACAGTTGACCTTTCTAGCTCTGACACATGTTAGTGCAGCATCAAGCTCTGTCGCTAGTTGCACAAACTCACTCAAGGTCTGCTCCCCAGGACATGAACCTTCAAGTTTCCTGTTGACAGAATACAGGTCAATAGATGCTTTGAACTTTTATGTAAACCAAGTGTATGGAAAGTTGTACGAGATACCTTTGAGGTATTTGCAGCATCTCCGCAGCTGATTTCAAATTTGCGTATTTACCAAAGTATACCTGCTTAGGAAATAGGGGATGTTTAGCAGATGGTTCCATGCTACAAGGAAATATCAGTTAGAAAAGTAGAAGAATATTGCTAGGTCAAAAACTAGGAATACCAGGCCATAAATTTATTTTTACTCTCCAAGGTTTTCGCTAGTGCAAGTACCAATAAATCTAAATGACACAAGGGTCGCATACCTCTGAATCATTAGCACCTTTAGATGAAGTAGCCATCACTTCAGAATGACTGTTGTAACGCTCGAGGATTTTGGCTATACTGAATTGCATAACAAGGGGACAGACAGCCTTGGTAACTAAAATCAAATATTTAAATAAATAATATAGTTATAATGGAAATTTACATATAGCAAGATGGCAAATTGTGTCAGGGTGAAGTAAATTAATACCTCAACAGGATCAATGCGATGGGATAAGATAATGACCAAACAGACCTGTAGCCTTTTGTTTTAGTTTGATTTTCCCGAGTTGTCCTAAATTTTGCAGTGTAGATAAAACCTTAGTATACTAACTAATTGTTTGCCATTTTTTAAGTTTGTTTTGAATTGAGATAGAAGTTGTATTTTAAAATGTTTTATTTTACTTGAAAATACATTAAAAAAAAAACACTAAATTTCCTTAAAAAGAAAAAAATTATAATTCTTAAAAAAAGTGTTATTTTCTAGGATGTAATTTAAAATATAGGTTATTGTCTTGCATTAATTTTTAACTCTTTTGAACAAACATTAGCAATATTAAAAAATTGCACATTGTATTTTTATTTATAGATTTATAAAGACATCCATACTGTAAGTTCTAGTAATCAAAATAGCACTAAAGCATTTAATTTAAAGATAAAAAAATAAATTATCACATTATCAATAAATTTTCTTTAAATCTTTAATTTAAAGATAAAAAAATAAATTATCACATTATCAATAAATTTTCTTTAAATCTGTGATAGTATTAGAGCGTTAAAGATGAAAAAAAAGAAAAAAAATCATTTTCTTTCAATAATAAAAATTCATCACTTCAAATGAGTTATGGTTATATATATAAAGTGGAAGAAATGATTTTTTTTTATCAATTCTTTTAAATATTTAAATCAAACCTATCATGAACGGATCATACCTAACTTAATAACCAATAATTATTAATTTAAATTAATGTCATGTATAATTTTTTTAAAAAAATTAATAGTAAGTAAAGATTTTTTAATAGTTATTATATTTAAGAGTTGAGTATATATAATTTTTAAAAGACAATCTCCTTTAAGTCCAATATTTACTTAAGGGGTTAAAAATCATTTATATTGGTGAAAAACAAATAAATTAATTTGATTATTATTATTATTATTATTATTATAAAGATATATATAAAATCACTTGAAAATAAAACATGTTAATATAATAAAAGATAAAATTTATCCCTTTATAAATTAAAAAAAGAAGTAACTAGTTGATTAAAGCTTGTACTTTTTGTTTCTCGGTAACCAATTTTTCATGAAGACTAGGTTATGCTAATGTTTGATAACGAAGATCTTGACAGGACACCGGAGGACAGACAGACAGACGGGAGTGTTGACACTCCATTGCAGAACAATTACTAGGAGTATTATTATGTGTAGTTATAATCCATGAATGAGAGGTTTTTGGCATTATCCAATCTAATTTAATTCTTATGGGCATGTTGGCGTGCAAACATTCGTTGTTAAAAAAACTTATAGGATCCACAAGATCATATCATATCTGTACAATCAGAAAGCATTAAAATTGAGTGATGCAGTAGAGCCAATATAGATAAATAAATAATCAGCAAGTTCCGCTGCCATATGTTATTTCATTTTTTAACTCTGGATCAAAGCATGTATCAAAGGGCCATGGATTGCCCCATCAACGGCAGACCGTCATATTTCTTCAAGGTGAGTTGTGGACTCAGGTGAGGATGCCCACTGTCCCCCTACTTGTTCACAATCTTATCACAGATTCTATCAGCAAGTATCTGTGGTCTAAGCCTAGGCCAATTAACAAGTGTGAAAAAGCCCCAAATGTTCAAGCAATCAAGCACGGACAGTAAGCAGATGACATCATTCTCATGGGGGAAGCTAGCGAGTCTGAGGCAAGATTTAACCAGTGGAAGTAGCAATAGCAGTGGAAGGGGCAAGAATTTTCTTCTCTGTGGAGTCAACTCATCTTCCCCTAAGCCGAACACATGATCTACAGGGTCCCAAAATCTTGAAGCAACTCTTTCAGAGTTAATTTCTGAGGAGACCCGAACACTATGCAGCCCAAGACTAAAGATATGGTCATGGCCACTCCAGCATCAGGCCAGTATGAAGATCAGTCAGCATCACAGTCTCGACCTTCTTCTTCCCCTGTTATAACTTCTAAACGGCTTTGTCATAGGGATAAAAACTTAAAAGCTTTGGCAGAAACATTGTTCGATAGCTCTTCTAAGAAACCAACTTAAACTATAAAAGCCATTCTGTCCGAACTATCTGTGAGAGACTCCAACTGCTCGGATTTATTTATTAAAAAAATGAAAACCATGGAGAAAACAATGTGGATAGGAACAATGTTATTGTTTTTGCTTCTTTTTTTCGCCTTTCAAACAGAAAAACCATCATACTAACTCCTTAAGGTAAAATGGTATTTTTACAAGGATTCTTTTGCAATTTTAAGATTGACCAAGGACAATATAATACTTTCATCTATTTTTTAATCTGTAAAATGACTAAAATATTATTAAAAACAAAATCTATAAGCATATTGAGACTTTTTATATTTTCACATATAAAAACATAATAATTGACATTCTTATCCTTGAAAAAAAATTCTTTAATTAACATGCAGGAGTTTTTTAGTCTTTTTCCTTTTTAAAAGCACATTTAAAATACCTAATTACCCATAGAAGGAAAATATTTCGGCCAAGAGGATGTTTGTCATTAAGCAATGGGTTTCTTGTTATTATTAGGTACAGTGAATAGCAATTTGATATTTTTACAAATATAAAATATTAATATAAATAAAAAATGGCCACTCAGCCGCATTAAAACTACGCGTGCGACTGATTTCAGCAGCTATAAACACCTTTCAACGGTAGTGATCGAATCACTCGGCAGCCCTCCTTCCCTCAAGCAGAGTAATTAGCAGAGGACATTGAGTTTGGCATTTCAGAGCATTGGAGTGGCATATGGAAATATCGAAACATCTCCACTTTACGTTATATAAGCACTTTCACCGAGGGTATTAACCATGACCAAGACATTCTTGGGTATTGTCCCTAATAATCTACACCATTGTGCTGGTGCCTATGCTTAAGTACGTCTTCATTGTTCTGTGGGTCTACGACAACGGTTATGGTAAGATAACCAAAATTTAATTAATTGTTAAGAAGATTCCCAAATCATTGAAGTTGAATCTTGTCTGCTTTACTATATATACAAGTGTCTAAACTTTTGTGTAGGGTTTTCTGACATGATCTTTATCATCCGTCTCAGTCGCAGTTTATGATAAAACGACCATATTCATGTTGGAACACTGTATATATATTTCATTTCCTCAGAAAATTAGATGGACGCGGGTTGATGGTGGGCTTTTCATGGAAATTAATGAGAAGTGTGAATTTGAACTTCATTTACAGTATTTCCGTCACCTGATATACTAAAGGAATGGAAAACGGAATGCACATGTTTATGTGAAGCATGCCATATATATGTTTTTTGTGCAGATTCCGATTAATGAATCAATGTCCTATTATATATATGTGTGTGTGTTAATCCGTTTGAGCGCACCTTCTATAAAATTTAAAATTAATAATTATATAAACTTCCAATATCATTAAAAATAATGATATATTTTTTTATTATATAGAAATGTGCCATTAGTTTATAGGCCTCCTTAGTTTTTTTTTCCTTCTCCAACGACTATTCATACGGTGAAATAAAAATTAAATTAAACTAAACCAAAACTAAAAAAAAAATTGATGTGTCATGTTGTCAATGCAGAAAGATTTTTATAAATGAGTGTGTATGTATTACTAGTCTTCCCTTGCTAATATTTTACAAGTATTTTTTTGGCCGAGTGATCATTAAAAACCTGAAGATCTCAATAATTTATAAGCATCATGCTCGGATCAATAGAAGTAATGTTGCAGGGGCTTTAGGACTGGAGACTCTGTTATGGATGCATGATTCTTCATTTTGGGTTTGTTCGGTTTTGTTGTGCTTCAAAATAAACGGTTGTTTTTAAATATATAATTATACAAGAAGCAAGGGGATGAAATTATTACCAAAAACAATTATCCAGGCAAGGGGGTGAATGCCTCTTTCATAATTTGTTTTTACACGTGTTTCTGTTAAATAATTGTAGATTCTCACGTGTGGCGAACATAATTTTAATTTGGTATTAATGATTTTTTTTCCTTTTTATTTCTTTTATATCCTCGATTTCCACGCATCCTCACTAAATTTTCAATATAGCCACTTAATTTATTTTTCCTTTCAATTTAATTCTTGTGTCAATTAATGTTGTTACGAATACTATTAAGAATCCTAATAGTGACATCCACAAACAACTTGTACAAAAATATTATATTAGAAATCCATGAAAAGACAATCCGCATAAAAATACTATAAATCCATGATAATGTAACCCATACAAAATGATGTTTGTGGTGGAGAATATTTTTTTAATGAAGTGTAAACTCTGGTATGAATTTTTTTCAACTCAAAAAAGTTGATGTATGAGCTTTTTATTAGAAAATAGATATTTTTCTTAATTGATTTTGTTTTTTTTTATTTTTATTTTTCTATCATGTATTATTAAGCTTTTATAGATTTTTTTCTATTTGAAAAAAATAGTTTTTCTAGTTCACTTACCATGAGTGGAATGGTTTACACGCGCAACTTATCAAAACTGCGTATTAATTCTCAATTTGTAGAACCTAGTTAGAATCTCAAATCTTCTTTTCCTACTCGCTATTCCTTAATGAGGAGTATTTTTGAAGATATAAAATCTAAACTTGTTGCTCACGTACATTCTATTAGTTTGAAAAAATAAAAAACTGGCAGGCAGAAAAGCCTGAAATAGAAGGATATATATGTGGAGCTATTTATCCTAAATTCCCAGCTCATATTGAAACTATTTATGTGAATAGAAGATTATAAGCTTAATGAAAAGATTAATTTAATCACTCAAATGTATTAGAATGTAAGGGTATATATTTTAATCAAATTATAAGCTTCGGGCAAGAAGTTTAAATTTTTATATATAGTATGGATACGTAAAAATTATAAGCTTAATGAAGACTCGCAAGGATTTTCCTTTCAAAGAAAGGAAAGTTCATCATGTGCAAGCGGTGAAGGCTAGCGTGAAAGGCAAAGAAGAAACTAAGAATCCAAATCTATCTACCCGTTGATTCATCAATTAAATAGGGCATCAACAACAGTAAACATCTCGCTTAAAATAATGTAATCGATCGGCAAATTAAATTACTACAAAACATTGAGAATTCATATTGCATTGTAAACATGGAAAAATTTTTGGTAAAAGAGGACAAAAAAATCTATAGTGATCTGACGTTAAGAGTCTATCAAGTATATAAATCACTATTTGAGTAATGTACTCAGTTTTTAGAGGGGAAGAGGAGTAATGATAGCACCAAATCCCTAGAAAATTAACAAATTAAAGCAAACAAATCAACAAGCTATTTATGTGCAAGAACAAAACTAAAACAATGTAATTATGTGTATTAATAGGAAATCAAGGGACCTAAGAATGAAGTTTTGATACAACAGACTTTTTTGAAATTAAAAAAAAATTGAAGCTCATGAACAAATTTCAGACATGACTCGGAGAAAAATTAAAAGTTCGAAAAGAGTTTGGTACCTGCCAACGCTAGAGAATTCGTAGAGCTTGCCTCCATTTGAAAAGATGAGGACAGCTACTTGGACGTCACAAAGAACAGAGAGTTCGTGAGCTTTCTTAATCAATCCATTTCTCCTCTTTGAAAAAGTAACTTGGCGACTGCTCTTGTTTTCGATTCGTTTTAGCTCCACTTTCTTACGACCCATTCTTTCTGCCTATCTATCTATCTCGATCGATCCAGATGTTCTGACCTAATTTCTTTCCTGATTTTGCAATGTAACCTTTCCTCAAGTGAAGACAAATAAAAAGTTACTAGTCGATTAGTAAGAGCTCGTTTAAAAACATGACGATTATGGCGTGGATGCAGTTTCACTCGGTTCTTAAACCAAAAATATTGATGCTTGTAGTTAGGTAACACGGATGCAATCATAACTACATCCCCGTTTCCAAACATGCTAACAAAAAACAAAAAAGAATAAAAAAGAGAAGAAAATGGAATGGATGTTTAGATTTTTACCAGCGAGAAAGTAGAGGCTCTTCCTCAAGTCGGTCAATGTGAGGCGAAAAATCCGAATTGTCTCCGCCACGGTTTAAAACTGCATGTATGGATGTCTCTCCTCTCCTTGTGGCGGCTTATGCTCTCTCTTTTTGATGCAACACGTTGTTTTCTTTTTACCATTTTTTAAGATAAATATGGAGCCTAAGAAAGACCCTTGATTGATAAGTGCACTATATAATAAGCAAGTAGGTAAAAACAATAATTTAAATTTGTTTTTTTCAAGAAGAGATTTGTTCTTCTTTTTCTTTTTTTGGTTTAAGGCTCTCTTTATTTAAGTGTCAAATAAAAATAATAATAAAATTTATTAAGTAAAAATCTAAAAGATATGCCGTTTTAATCTTAGAGCCCGCACTGTTCACGTACAAAACATTATGAACATAATATGTATTTTTTAATGATTAATTTTGATTTTAAAGTTTACCTTTTGACAATTTAATCATAATTAAAAGCTAATTACTTCTAATTTCTTCGTTAAATGTGAAATTAGAAGACAAGGATTGGGATAAAAAATACGTGGCATGCTAAAAATTCCAAGAAAGATATATTTTTGTCCTGGTATTTTAAAAATTAAACAAATAATACAATTTTGGTACATCAATATTTCTCCAATTTAATTTTAGTATATAAGTTCATTTTTTTTTTAGTCTCTACATGAGAAAGGTCATCAAATTCCGATAGTAGAGAGAAAAAGATATTATTAACATCGATTTAGACCATTAAAACAATTGATATTTGTGTCAAATAGTTTCATTTGATGAGAGGAGTTCATATTAAGTGTTTTTTACCTTTAAAATTAGTGAAAAACAAATATAAATTCATGTTTATTTTTTTCAGGTTGATTTTAGTTTTTTGGATGGTTGTTTGGTTTTTTAAGCCATAGATATATTTATTACGGTTTATAAAGGTGTTTTTTTAGGTGTTTTGTGTCAAAAAAATAATTAAAAAACAAGTTTTTAGATAAAAAATATAAAATTTTAATTTTTCAACCATCTGGTGGTTAGAATTTAAACAAAACCAAACAACGAGTCATCATAGTTTTTTTTATGGTGGCAAAAAAAAGAAGCCCAATCACACAAATCCTCACAAATAGGAAGGGTGAGCTAGCTTAGTTTGCTAAACCTAGTAATGCCTGACCTTTTCTTTTTCTTTTTCTTTTTTGTTTTTTAAATTAATACTTCTTTTTATATGTTTTATATGTTTTTTATTTATATTTAGATTAATATCTTTTCTTTCTTTTATTTTGTTTAGAAAGCTTTTTTTAATTGAAAATTATTTTTTTGTTATACATTTAATTTTTAAAAGGCTTTTATAATTCATCTATAATAATTTTTTTTATGGATGAACTTTATTTTTTAAAAAATATTTTTTAAATTTTTATATAATATTTCTAATATGTTTAACATTTCATAATATTTTTTTCTTTTTATTTTAATCAATGAATTTAATATATGTCTATTTTTATAGTCGTTTGATTGAATAAAAAATTATTTTAATAAACATAACCTGGTAAATATTTCATCATGTAAGATTAAATATATTAATCCATACCTGTTTTTTAAATTTTATTTTTGAGTTATTATTTATGATTTTTTTATTTATTAACCTATATAGTTTTTGATTTATTTTATTGTATGTAAGAATAAATTTTTTTATTTTTTTATATTTTTTTAACTGTAAAAATATATTAAAAAAGTACATATATAAATTTTGTTGTTAAAAAAATATCTAACATGTCACCGCGGGTAAGATAAAGATCTAATATCTACTTTTAGATTGAGAGGCTAGGTGTACAATTCATTGCCATTTTAAGTTAAAACGGTGATTATCTTTACTCAAAATAGAAGATAAGCTGCCGTTGTTTGAGCAGCGAGCAGACTGCAAAACGCGGATAAGTCAAGCGCCTATGGTTGATATTTATAAGTCTACCAGCACTGTAGTCTCTTGCCCCGTCTTAGCTGACGTCTGCTATGGTTGATATTTATTCGATCGTCGGATAGTGCTGCCATTTAGATATTTTTAGGGGTAAACTGCATTATATATATATTCTTTAAGATATGTTTTGGTTTTAAAAAATATTTTCTTGATTTTTTTTTATAATTTTAATTTTTTAATATTAAAAATATAAAATATGAAAATATTTTACATAGCAGTACCAATTAATACGTATATACCCCTAGCTTAAAGTTGCCTAATATTACCCATATAGTTATTAAATAGTTTCAAGTTAGCCCTTCAGAATCAAATAACTAATAAACTGTTATTTTCCCCTCCTAAATCCTTATAAAAAAAAACTCTGAAACCTAAAAATCCTCAAAGTTAAAATTAAAAAATAGGGTGGCTGTAATACTTCACTCCTCCTAATCAATAAAGACAATTAAATAATGACAGGTGCTTTACAATAATGCTTATATTTTAGAGTAAAGGTTATAATATTTTTAATATAACTCGAATAAACCTATTAAAATTAAATAATTTAAATATTATAAATGACAGCGCATAAAAATCTTAAGAAATTAGATATTATGTATCCAGTTGTAGGTTAATATTTTTTAAATCCCAATCAATTTGATTCAATTAATATATCATGTACTTATTTTATCTTTATATCTATAACTTGTGAATTGAATATTTATTTTTATTTTATTTATAAATGTTTCAAGTCTAAAGTTATTGTTAGTCAGTTTTTTATTGTATTTCTTTAATGCAATTAAAAAAAAAGCTTGTTTCTTTATTGGAGGGGAGAAATGAAGTAACTAGAATTTAATTATGATGAAAACTATACAAATTATATTTAATATTAAGAGTGTGATGATATCTATACTTCATTTTGTAGGCCTCTTTAAATACTTATAAAAATTAATAATATAAACTAAAGCCTTGAATATTTATAATATTAAAAAAAAAAGTCCAACTCAATATAGTTAATTCCCTAGAATCCTAAAAAAAATCCAATAAATTAATTTTATAATCATATTTCTATATTGGTATATATAAGTTGAACGAAACGATAAATTAGCAGGAATGTGAAAAAAAAAATAACAACGGACAAATATGGATAATTGTCCTCGAGTACATATTTCACTTCATTTTACATCAAAATTCAAAACCATGCTTCTTTCCTTAATAAACTATTTAAGCTAAAAGCCCTGAATTTTTGTCAACACAGGCTTGGATCCGTAATTTCCAATTCCAAAGTTGTTCTCCTCTGAACTCTTTTTTTTTTTTTTTTACCATACCTATCTCGCCAAGGCAGACCCAGCAGAAGCAAAACTCTATAAAAAATGTCGAAACCAGGCCATTAATTGGAAATTACGACAAGAGCGGGACTCATGGGAATTTGTATGTATAACAGATTGGGCAGATTGGCCATACTCTATAACCCAGAAGAAGGACAAGAGCGGGACTCAAGTGTCTGTACAACAGATAAAAGGCCATTCTCAATCACAATTTTACTGAAGCAATGAGACCAGGCCATTAATTCGGAGCCCAGGGAAAACTGCCCAAACTTCTCCCTTAAACAGAGGCCAACTCTGGCTGAAAATCCCATGAGCCAGTTACCATTTGCGTTTCCGAGAGGCCCACGAAACTCCGGTGAATCTCCTCCCTCATGACGTAATTAAGCTGTCAAGTTCAAATGGGCTGTGGTAAACTGAGCAAACAAAAGTTATAGAACTATACGTGAAACGAAAACTATAAGTTCGAAACCTATTCATGAATGCTCAATTAGTTCGAAAAAATAATTTAGGGATCTGATTAAAAAATGGTGTGCTGATTAAAGACCTATAGGAGATTAGCCTTGCAATGTTTTTCCCATTTACTCAACTTCATCAATCTTAAATCGGATTAAAATTCAAAGGAAAGTTCATATTGTATAATATAGCTATTAAAATGTAAATATTGATTTGTACATAGAATTTTGGAAGGCAATATAAAAATTAATTAGTAGACACAATCGTATTTCAGGTTAACAAATTGGTGAAATAATTAGATAATATTTTATTTTTAAAAAGGTAAGAATTACTGAGTCTATTATTATCTTTATAAAATAATTGATTTTTCAATACATTATTTTTAACTTTTTCTGTTCGAATTAACATAATTAATGGAGGAGCCACAAGAAATAGGAAGATTTTCAATAGGAAGTGATTATCAAAAAACTATTTCATTTAAAAGTTTAAGTTTATAGACAGGATCTCAAGATATTATTTATATTATTTTATAATATACTTCTTTAAGTAAAAGCTTTTAGATTTGAAACTTATACGAACTCACATTACATTGTGTTTAATTTTTTATTAAATAAATAAAAATTGTAAGATTCGAACTTAAAACTATTTGGTCATCAGGCTCTGATACCATGTCAAAGAATCATCTCAACTCAATAGCTTAAACTATTAGATAAAGTTTTATGATATGATTTATATTATTTTCTAACTGAGATATCTAATCTTATGTAATTTTTTTTTAAAAAAATTTTATACTAGTCACGTATTTTACTCATGATTAACATGGTTATAAAGCTCAGGGCACTTAATCAAGTCATTTGCATGACTGATTTAATTCATTTAGATGAAAAAAAAAGTTTACAAAAAATAGACTGGAACTCGTAAGAGTAAAAAATGAGAGGAGATAAAGGTTTCTAATAGGGATAGGGAAGGTATGGAATCAAGGATTTTTTTTTTAATTTTTTTTTATTATGTTTGCTACACAAAAATAGATTGGAATTCTATTATAAAAAATATATTAAAAACTCACCCCCAAAATAATTATTCTTTAAAATAATGCAAGAAATACATTTTCTTTTATTTTTATTTCTAAAAAAATAGTCATAAAATATCTTTATGAATTAAAAGTATATATATTTTTGGATTTTTTGATTTGGCCCAACTCAACTCCGATCTAAAGCTTAAATCACAATTTGATAGAGTTGAACTAGGTCAATAATTATTTTAATTCTTAGTGTATTTTAATTCTTATCCAAATTAGTGTTATTTTGAACTGTTTTCAAATTAAAACGAAATTATTTTGAAAAAGCATAAAAAAATTCATCAAATCTCACATGCATTGTAAGTTAACCAGTTTTTCTGGATCCACTCAGAACTCGGCATGGTCTAGAGCCACGG